CTCTTTCCCAGCTATTCTTTGGAAAAAATGTCCTTGTTCCCTTTCTGTGTAGATATTCACTTCATAATTTATTCATTTATTCAGAACTTTTAGCATCCATCAGAAATTCTGAGGGCAGGCGAATTTTTTGCCTGTTGCATTACCTGCACATTTTAAGATCCTTAGCATGGCAAAAAAAAAACAAACCCCAAACTGCACCTTCTTTAACTGAAGCAGCTTCCTGTGAGGGGAAGCACCATCCCTACGCGGGAATACTGACAATTCTCATTTTTATTTTATTATCAATAACTCTATTATCAGTTATCATTATTTCATTATACAATTGTCAATAATTATACCAATTACTATCTCAATTGGAATTCTGATACAAATTGTTTGTAATCTGAACAGCCTTCTTACAGAGACCTGCAGCAAAAGCCCTCGTCTGTATTTGCAGCGGTCAGGAAAGGAAGCTCTGCCTTGGCTCAGACCAGGGTGACTGCAAGTGTCCCACCTAGCACTGGAGGGCTCTAGGGACTTCCTGGAGGAGTTATTCTGACATGTAACAGTATCCCCTCCCTCGCAGGAGTGGGAAACCTGTCACGGATTTGTTTTGACTGATCTAAACACTAGAGCCAGTGGTTACAGGTATCTGAGCAGCTGTTCCTGAACAAGCAGTTTTCTGAAACGAAAGCACTGATTAGCACCGCAACAAACCTGTTACCAGAAATGATGCAAAAGCCAGGCAACATCATCATCATCCAAATAATGAAAGGCACTCCAGAGTGAAATCAATATTATTTTTTTCATCAAGAATTAACTCAGATAAAAATAATCCATTTCCAAGCAACGCTTTTCTTTCTAGAAGAAAGAGGGTTCTAGCTTAAGAACCTGCAGGTCTCTCAGTGAGAGAAAAACACTGATGCTCCAGGATGTGGCACTTTGCTCCAGCTTAGCACCACAGCAACACAGTATTCATAGAAACAAAGGCAGCTTAAGAGTTTTGGTGATTTACTGTCTGGAGCCTTGTTATTTCTGCAGAAACAGGAGAGCAAAATAGGTTATGTCTGTTCTTCTACGATAGGAAGGGTTTGCAATTACCCAGGGAAAAAAGCCTCCCTCACAACTCTTTCTAAATAAGGTTTTAATATGATTATTTCAATGTTTATGACCTAGATGACTGTTAGAAAACTCCTTGCTCTGACCACCACCAGGTTTCCCAGTGAAAGCACATAAATTTCAGGATCTAGATTTAGGGGCCAATCCAAAGGCACCACAGCCAGCAGTGTCTGAAGAGCAGGCTGAGGCGCTGTGGTTTGAACACTAATCGACATTCTTTATTGTTGCCCCTTCTCTACACACAACTATCACCTCACAAGCCTTCCCAAACTTCTTCCTCTTTACTAAGGACATTAAGGTAACGTCCCTCCATAGTTTGGTCTCCCCCTCCCATCTTCCTCTCCTTCCTTCTGCGCGTTCCCCTCCCTTGCTCACTGCAGTCTGTCCCTTGGAGCTTCTCCCAAAATCACTTCAGGAGGAACCACTCTCTTTCCTAACAGCTGTACATGTGGGTGTGCGCCCACACCTGTACGTGGGTCACCTTGGCACCCGGAGCAGCCAGCACCTGGCAAGGTGGCAGCCGCTGGCAGAAGCAGTCACATCAGCCAGCTGGGCACTACCAGAGCAGCAGAACAGGGCGCTCTGGTCGAACAGAGTCGGTGCTCAAATGGGCGAGTTCACCATTTCTTTCTGCACGTTTGAACACCAGAACTGTGGGCTGCCTTCTGTCTCCACACAACGATATATTTCTTTCACTAATTAACCATTTTCATCTGTAGTACAGTAAAAGTTGAAATCGTGAGTCACTAGACATAGAGCATACCAGATAATC